TACAAATTGGAAAAATTTTGGACAAAGCTGTTTAAGAACATTCTATACACTTTTGTGGGTATAATAAACATGTGGGTATTGGCAGATCTAAGGTGGAGATCCCGTATTTTTGCCCATGTGAAGGGAAGTTCAGTAATTATCAGGGACTTAAAACCAATAGGTATTTTCAAGCAGCAGTTAGCACTTCTGCCATATGTGGGATTTTATTAGAGAGAAATGCTTACAATCTTTGTGCCTTTCCTGATATATGAGGTTATCACTAATTATTTTTATGAATTCAATTCATGCAACTACAGTTAGGCAATAAAAATTTAAATTTGAATGTTTTAAAAGAGTGATTGCCTTTTTGAAGAAAATAAGACAATGAAGTTCAGGGTCAAGTTGTGAAAACACCCAAAATAACCTAGAGTTTGATTAAGCCACTTGGTTTTTCAGCTGACATGATGATAATAGTAATGATAATGATTATAATGCAAAATGATACTAAGAATAACAACAACAGTATTAGTAGTAATTTTAATAATAATATTTAATTACGTTGGTCACAACCTGACTCAGAATGATAAAATTTTGTTGTTTGTGTTATTAGAAAACTGCCCGTATTCACTGCGTTGAGAGTGGTGCTGTCACAGTTTTACAAACATCAAGTAAGTTTGTCTGTCTGTCAAAGCTTACAACAGTGGACATTCTGCTGCATTTTGTAATAACCTCACATTTTGTAATAATGGTTGTGGGTTTTTTGATGAAGGATGCAGTGTTTTGAAATAACTGTCCATCTACACAATTTGTAACATTAACAGTATTATTCCACAGATTGGGTATTTTTGGTTTCCCTCTTCTTAAAAATTATTTGTCAAGCATCAGTTTTGTTTCTTTAAAGAAGAAACAGACACATAACTCAAACAGTTACTGCATGTCAGGAAACATTGGCAATATGTTGGAGATAACTCAGAATATCAAAGTGCAATACTGAATTATGGCATTGTATGTGTTTGTGGCAAAGTCCCTGTACAAATTAATACAAATTGCCTCAGGAGGTAGTTGCAGATTGCATAGACCAACAATTACTTCAAAATGCTGCAGCCCTTATTATGAAATGTGTAGGTTTTTACAAAATGCTGCAGAAGATTGGACTAAGGTGATATTCTTTATTAACTGATTTTGTGCAGAGCACTCACATTGTCAGCTATATTTCCAGTGAATTGTGGAGCAATATCATTTCAACTGACCATATCAAGTAATATGGGAATGCATGGGTTTCCCCTTATTTGATTTACTAGGCTCTGAAATTTTTACTGGAAACTAAAGCATCACCTTCTGAACTCAACACAATCAAAACTAGAACTAACTTCAACTTGGTGTTTTGTGTTTTCCTTCACTTAAAGATGGCTGATGTGCTAACTTTTAATACTCAGTGACTTCTTCTTTGATGTGATTGGCTAGTGTGTTTTGTTTGGGTTTGGCTTCATAGCATTCATTGAATAGCACTTTGGATATGTACATCATGCTTATTTTACCACCCTACCTGGCATATGGACCAATAGTGTACATAATATGTCCAGAAATTAGGGCCCTCCATTTGAACAAAGACCTCCAAATCAACTGCTTTTGAGTAACTGACAGGGGAAGAGTACAATTATATATATTTCTTAGGTATAAAAGTGATTCTCTTTTGGTTTGTGAGTAGTATAAGAATTTTCTCAAGAATCATTATCTTACCCCTTGATATCCATCCATAAATTGCACTGAACGTTTTGTTCAGTGCAGTGTCTGTCTGTACATGTGTCTGCAACTAATGGGTAACTGTACTATATATTGCCAAAACACAGAATAACTGAACTTTTGTTCTAAAGGGATGTTATTCAGAAAATGAAAATTGGAGCACAAACATCGGTGTAAGATGATTTTTTTTCTCTGCTCTAGGTAGCCACTCAGGCAGTGCACAGGTGACTGGAAATGAGTCAAGTGAAAGTGTTGTCCAGCAGGAGATACTTCAGTGTCCACAGTGCACTGAAGAGTTTTCCTGTCCAAATAAATTTACCACACACCTGCGTAGCCATCCGGGAATTGATCCGTTGAAATGCCCAGTGTGTTCTAAGGAATACTCATCATCCACATCTCTGAGCACGCATCTGAGAACTCACACGGGGGAAAAGCCATTCTCATGCCCACGGTGCCCCAAATGCTTTAGTCAATCAAGTCACTTGACCACACACATGCGTGTGCACACGGGAGAGAAGCCGTATCAATGTCCTAAGTGTCCAAAGACGTTTGGACAGTCGAGCCACCTGACGTTGCACCTGCGCATTCATAACGGTGAGAAACCATTTCAATGTCGCTTCTGCAGCAAAGGGTTTTCTCATTCGTCAGCTCTGAGTACGCATATGAGAACCCATACTGGTGAAAAACCCTTCCAGTGTCCAAACTGCCCGAAGAAGTTTTGTCAGTCAAGTCACCTCAAAATTCATGTACGGACACATACTGGAGAAAGACCGTTTCAATGTCCACACTGTCAGAAATGTTTTCGACAATCTTGTTACCTAACTAAGCACGTGCGAGGCCATTTAAAAACGGAACAAAGTTTTTAATAACTAAGATGTATATTTAACACAGAAAAATGTAAGCTATGATTCAGTAACGGTACTTAAAACAGTTAAAATATTTTTGTCTTTTCTTCCTCGTTTGCATTACTATTACTTAACTAAACAGCAAAAATGAACTCTGAACCGAAATGGAGGCTAAGAATTCCAATAATGAATTGCAGATATTGCTTCAATTTTATTTCTTCTTTTGATTCTAAACTTTTGCTTCGATCAAGCAGATAAAGCGAGAACTTTACAGCGTGTTTCATTACACTTTTAATGGTAGATTTTTTCCGGGAGTTTGAGAATGTGATGAAACATTGTTTCTTTCGTTTGATGCTTCTTATTACATTTTATGAGTTGGAAAACCAACAACACCAGCTGTTACTGAAAATACATTTGCAGAGCTCTTGCATATCAAATGAGAAAAATTTGATTATTGAATCATGGCTGTGCTTTCCTTCACAAAACGATATTTTGCCGGCTTTCAACCTTGTTGAAACAGCGTTTACTCTCCCCTCGAATCCGAAGGCATCAATTCTTTTCCGTCTTTTTTCCTTTCAATTTACATTCTTCAAAATACGCAGACGTTAGAACGCTTGACCACGTAGCTCTTTCGTTCAAATCGATAACGTTGTTGAAATGCAAAGGTGAGACCCTGAACAAACATCGAACCAAATCCGATAAAACCTAAAAAAGAATCCGAAGAAACTCTATCAGATTTTTCAACGATGGCCAGTGTCGGTGATGAACCACGACGATAGTTCGCCATCTTGAAAATATAGTGCCTACAGCTTTCCTAGAAGGAAAGCACAAACTATTCCAAAATCCCATTTTGTTCTCTAACATCGCCAATGTTAATAAGAATATTTTAGATACCCTTAAAAAATCTATACCTCTGAATCTACACCTGTTTTTAACAGTTCAACCTTTGCCTCTGAGGCAAAGTTCACAAAATTGATCAATCTGATTACAGGAAGTAACCCATGATCTCCGGTCATCACAGTAAAGCAAGCCTCAGAAACTACATCGGCCACCCTTCAAGTGAAAAAATAAGAGCTTGCTCTGATATCCTTTCCGATACGTTGAGTGGAAAGTCACATCCGTCACTGCAGCCGAGTTTTGCGGCGCTGTCATCACGAGCGATCTTCATGTTCCGGTGAATTCGGCTGTCGTTCATTCAAAAAACACTCGCCTTGAACAGTTTGTTTTCGACCTTGTCATGTGAAAAAACTCGCGTGTTTTTATGAGCCATAATTCGGCTGAAGTTCACTGAACATTTCACTACAAGATTCTGTATTAGAGACTTAAAAACTTCAGGCAAAAGTGTTAAGAAGTGTCAAGAAGTGGGAAGAAGCACTCAACTACGTCTCGTGTTTCTCCCTACACTTCTTTCGTGCTCTAGCCGCTTCCTGCGTGCTTTACAACAGAACAGAGCACAGTCAAGGCTTCTCTATTTGTTAAGTAAAAGTTCACGAGGATAAAAAAACCAATAAAAAAATTGTGTGAAGGTGGATGGAGGTGATTCAGGGAGAAGGGAAGATAAGAAGGTAGATATATACTGTGAATTGTCCCTGGAGTGTCCATTTCTTCAATATTTGTGTACTTGGACACGAACTTGTTACTCAGCCACGTTATCTCAGATTCCGAGTCAAACACGAGATATGGAAAACCTAACATCCCACCACATGGAAAACAATGGCAACTAAGGCATATTGGTGACGGTAAATTAAGTCCTTTCAAAAGAAAGCAGAGCAGTGATCCAATTTTTATGGAGATTCTCGAGGAAGACTGAATGTTTGATAACGTAACACAAAATTGTTGTATAATAAAATTACACCAAGTGAACATAAGGTTACACCCATTAAGCTTGGCTTGTGGTTTCACTGTTGTGAGAAAGATACGTTACGCGAGAAGTACAGCGCATGCAATTTCAGCTGCAAATCTTAACAACTCGGCTATCCAATTTGACGTTGTTAAACACTTTTGTAACAGTATATAAAAGTAACTGCAGTAAACTGCGAGTGCCATTCTTTCCTCGACGTGAATTTGGTTCAAAAGGTTCTTTTTCGTTGTAGTTAATTTGAATCTTGATTCATGGCCATATCCTGTACTAAATGGACAGGTGAGTCTATGATGAGTTTGCAACCAGTGTTGAGAAAAATAAAAACTTGATTCCTGATTATGACCTTATTACTAGGACCTTCGTGGAGGAGTTCCCTAGAACCTGAATTCATGGATTTGTGTTTAGACCGGCTTGATAATTGTTAGGGAACCTTACAGTGATTGAGTGATCACATAACATGATTAATGAATAAACAAAATCAGATAAGAGATTGTTCGAGTGTGAATATGTCACAGGTGCTATGGTCAGAAAACATGACACCCTCTATCCTTCAAGCCGATTCGTTGAAGGGTCTCACAGGTACATGTATTGCTTGTATATGTTAAGCGCTCCTCGGTAGAGCAATTTAAGCAGTCAACCACACGTTTTGGAAAAAAGAGAGCATACTGTACCTAAGTCAACAAGAAAAGGTTTGACATAGTAACAAGCTAAAGTTGTTCCTTTTATCTGTAGGATGCTGTGACAGGTTGACCGAGGTTCCACATTTTCCATTTATTGCGTTTACCCCTACTCTCTTTGTAATAGAATCTTTTTACTTCGCGCAATCGAAAAATTCTTTCGGGAACACATTTTGTAATAAGATACTCTTGCTGTGTTTGGAGTATATTTTTTGTCGAGTAAATATTATAGAAGAAGTGTTATGTTGCGGACCTATTTGTATAATAGGAACATTTTGCTTCGACAAATTGCAAAATGTGAATATTGTCTTGTGATAAATGGTTCTTCGCCTGAAATAGTGCTACTAAGAATCCTCAGGGACTAGCTCGGCTGCAAGAAGGCCTGCGATTTGAACACAGAACATGGAACATGGGACATGAAAAGTATAATATATCTCAAACAATCGAGTTCTATTCCAGAAAGCATTTCTAAGAGAAGATAACCGGCTTGTCCTTCATAAAAGCTTACAGATCGTCTTCGAAAATAAGTCAGTAATCTTACAATTACCATAATATTTGATGACTATTTCTTGGTCTAGCGCTGCCCCTTTATAATAAGCGCAGGTATCCTCCGTTATCCACAGTTATCTACGACTGGAAGTTACCGCAATATGGTATTACTGGAAAATATGTATGGAAAGGTGGTTTCAATGGTTACCTGACCTTCAAAGACGCCTTCATTCCAAGATGCTCTTGTCAAAGTTTCACGATGTCTTTTTAATATACCATCTCTATTTACATTTTTCTCTAGGGAATCCCGCGGGAGAATGAGAGTATCTTTAAGAGGAATGACTATTTTGATCAATAGTTTTCCTATGGTTATGTTGTTGACTATAGCTTCAGGTAACGTAAGGAAAGCAATGATCCGTAAGTGGAAACTATATTGGTAATTATGATCAACTGCCCACACGCGTGTCGATTTGTGGGGTATCTTCATGATTCCAACGCAGAAATAGTTTTCTTTGTCACATTTTATGTCATAGAACTTCTTGCAAACGACCTGTGTCTGTGACGGGAGCCTGAGAATATCATAAGTGCTTTAAAATGATCATAAAATATTTCCCGCCAAACAGTTGTTTATAGCATCAACAACATGATGCAAATTTCTGACTGGGCGCTCTGCCATGAAAGCAAAACGCATGTAACAGCCAGTCTGTTTACAGTAAGATTAACACAATCTCGTTGCCAGCAGCTGATCAGTTCAAGTGCCATAACAAGGTAGACATGGTTATTCTATTGGACGTATCAGGGAGCATTAAAGTGAATCAGTTTAAGATCGCAAAGAAATTTGCTGCTGACCTTGTAAAACACTTTGACATTTCGAAAGTCAGGACTAATGTGGCCATCGCATCATACAGTCAATACGTGAAAACTGGAAGGACTTTTTACGATGATGCTTCTCAAGAAGCTGTATTAAAGGCGATAGATGGAATCCATTATGAGGGAGCCGCCAGTAGACTCGATCTTGCGTTTGGACTTGTGCAGTTTGGACTTTTCAGTGGTAAACAAGGGGCAAGGATATGTGATAAAGGTTAGTAGTAACGTTGTTCTTAAAGTGGTTTGAGGTGCTGGCACACTTTAATCCTGGGTTATAAAAGATAAGTCTTTTTAACAATGACCATACATTCATTAGCCTTGAGAATTTGCTAATGATTTTCCTAATTCTCCACGCTATTCTACTTTTCAATGAACAAAAATTGTTTAATCGCGACAAAATTCAACTTGGTCGCGATAACCGATCCGGTCCTATTACCCGGGTGGAAATTTTTCCTGTGGCTCCGTTCACAAGGCCAGCCTGGCTTTCCATACCCGTAAAGAGACAGTGGGTACACGTAACACTGCTCATCGAATACCGGAAAACTTCCAGGAAAACCAGCTGATGTCGGTGAGCTTCCCCAGCACGGCCCATAACCTTATATTGCAATCTCAGAAAAAGTTTAATTAGCGGAGTTTACGATGAAAGTTCATTCAGTGATCGATATTAAAAGAATCAAACATATCAGCTAAATGAATTTTATATCCTGCTTTGAACTTTTGAACTTCAAAGGGTAGCGATCAAACTAGCATAAAAATTAAACCTTTTTTAATATTTTGAATTAGAAAGCTTTGTCTTTGGACGCCATAATAATTCGTAATAATATTAACATTTGAATATGAAAGCAATCTTCGAACACTACTTGAGCAGGAGTGAAAAAAAGGGGCCTGAAAAAATTGCTGCGGAGATCACTTTCATATTCACGTCTTTATCCGCAGTTCAAATATACGACTTTCATATATTCATAGTCGTTTATTCACCACTTCACGGGTTTATTTGGTACCAACTGTTTCGTTTAATAAATAGGCGTTGCCTCGTGTTGACAGATTTATTCGATGACAAGAATCGTGATTGACATTAATTCAATAGATTGATTTAAAAGCGTTAGATTATTATGTTTTAAGTCAGTTTTTCAGCAGAATCGAAGTGAGAAAGAAGTTATTTTGTTATCGTTTTTCTGTCTCTAAATCCGCTTACCTGGAGAATCTGCTAACCCGTAAAGTGAGACTGTTGTAACAACCCGCCACAGAAGTAAGTTTATATTGAAGTTTTTTAATTTAGTTACAAGATAAAGACTTGATTTGCGTTTAATAACAAAACGTCAACCTCCTTATCTGAAAACTTAAAGAGAAATTTTTCTTATCACTTTCGAGGTATTCTTTCATTTTCAGACGACATACTTCATGACTTTGGTATCTAACTTCATCCACAGGTGTAAAGAAGGTTGCAGTGTTTGTCACAGATGGCAAGAGCACTAGAGGAGTAGAATTCACAAGACAGAGTGCTGATTCATTAATAGAGAGAGGTATCACCTTATTCTCTGTGGCTATCTCTGATCACGTTGATGAAGATGAACTTAATGAGTTGGCAAGTACGCCAAGAAAAAGCCATCAGCTTGTTATAGACACCCCAGGCAAGTTCTTCACAAAAGAGCAGGTTGAACGCTTCGCAAAGGAAATTTGCAAAATCGACTAAACGATAATATTTCACCATAGAAAGCTGATAAAATTTCAACAACGACGTCTGCTACGTTAAACTATACTTTTATTAGAATATTTAACCATTTTTTGAATAAATTAATAAAACGTCAGATTGAAATAAATGTAAAGGAAAAGAACGGAGATGTCGATTGTCCTTGTCAGAGCATTCTGGTTATGTAAGCGAATATGGAAAAAGGTAAAGTAAGCTTCTTTATGTACTTTTTTTCTGGTCTTTACCTTTCTTGATTAATTGACACACTTAACCACACACCATAGTTGATGACCAACTCGAATGAAATCAAAGGGCTCTTGGAGCCAGCTCATTCATGCTATGGCTTAAGTTTGTATCGATTTCTTGGACTTGTTGAATATAGGTACAGTTGAATTCGGTTTATGTGAACTTGCAAAACTTTTAGAATAAATTCTCTCTTATTTTTAGGCGGTTGTGTGATAAGAAAACTTGTGCGTTCTTTGATGAGAATTGGAAAAAAGGTTGTGTGGGCTGGAGGTAGGATGGGCAGAGGTCATTGGGCAGACAATGTCCTTTTTGTTGGTGTGTGTGTGTTTGTGTAGCCACCAAACAGATGAGTGATAAAACCATCACACAAGTAAACAAATGGCCAGTCACGAAAGCAACTCTTCGCTTTTCCCTATAAAAATTCGCTGGCTCCTCATGTACTAAGCCAGTAACAATATAAGGCACATATGGAAAAATCAATGTGTGTACACCCCTGAACATTGAAAATATATCAAGTCGAAGGAACAGTTTTGGTCTCGGTCCGCATTTTTGTCAACAAAATGAACACAGATCGATTTAAACGATGAACCGTACGGACCACGTGCAAAGATGTCAATTGTTTCTCGAATATTGCGTGTATTAAATATCCAACAGTGACATCTCCTTTACATCTCTATCTACATCTACTTTTATTAAGTTAGTAAATTCTGTACCGAAATCTCACCAACCAACTCGCGCGCAAAATGAGAAGACTACATGAAAGCTTGAAATTATATTAAGAACGATTGTGATAAAGAAACGAGGAAAGAATATTCCTCAATATATAGTGCAAATAGTTGTGAACGATAATCGCGGAAAGCGATTGCGCGACACTCGGTAACTTGTAAGATGACATGTTATCACGTATCAGACGAAAACACAGTATAAATTCTCAGTCTGAATTTTGTGCCCAGTCTGCAGTCTGCATTCTGTACCTAGTCTGCATTTTGTACCCGGTCTTCAGTCTGCAGTCTGCTGTCGGCATTTTGTACTGACCCGATTGGTACTATTGTTTTTATTCCAGCGAGCCTTAAGTCCGGACCGAAATATTGGAGCTCAAAAAAAAATTATTGTGAGACTATCTTGGCCGCTTTGTTGATGTTTGGACTGTATGTGGAGGAGCTCACGAGGAAAAGTACAATGTAGAGCAATGATTACTTTATACTAACTGAGGACGAACGCAAATGCGCGGCTTACTAATAAGCTCTTTCGCGTGGTCACAGCGTGTGTTGAAATGAACCCGCTACGGGTCCCCTAGGTGTGAACATTTCGGCTTCTTGATTCAAGTTGCATTTTCAGAAGTTCGGAAATGTGGTTTGAGGTAATTTTTAACATTTAATTTCTTTCCATGGGAGTTTCTGAGCTTCATCGAAATTAATTTTGACTTTCACTAAGTGGGGAGGGGTAGCATGCGAGTCTACTTCCATTCAAGATCCATAATGCAACTTCCGTCCACGGAATACAACTTCCGTCCACGGTCGACAACTTCCGTCAACATCTGCTCCACCACGATACCTCATTCATTGCTTTCAGCATGAATGAGCTAAAAATGAAGAGTGATGTTCAACAGCAAAGCTAATCAGTTTAAATTTAGACTAACTACAGTAATAACCAAATCACCTCTTTTGATACACACAGTTACATCAACGTGTCGTGATAGGGTAGATTTGGTGATCAGATGCATTGTTTGCGTCAAGAAATAAATGGCGGGTGTTTTAAAATTCCCAACAGAGAGTTAATAGAAGATCAATATCGAGCTTGACCTTGTTCGACATCGCCAAACCTGAAAGATACTGGAAGGGATAACCAGGAGAATCATGTGTATGAACGGTTCCCCCTCGTTTGCTACCTGACATGTCCAAAAGAACAAAAGTTGAAAGCAAGGGGCCCACGATATATGATGAAAATGAGTTGCTACTTGTTGCCGATTTGTTCTGGTAGTGATTATCCCATCGTAAGTCACTGTCACGTGAAAATAAGACTATCAAATTGCAAAGTTAGAAGTAAATCAAAAAGCAATTTATTGATACAACAGTTTCGTCAGTACTAGTCAGTTATGATAGTGAACCACGCGCCCATTTCTACATGATACAGATTCCAGAACGCTTTAACTCAGACGTAACTCACTAAAACCCTTCTGAAAAATCTGTTTGCTTGCTCTGACTGCAAGTGATTACCACCCAGCATTTCGTAAAATTTCCTTTACAAACATACCCCGAAATATTTTCATACCGAAGTGGCTCTTTTGGTGGATATTAGTTTTGTTATTTCTTCAGTTGTAAGTTATGCGGCAAAGAAATATCTTTCCGCCATTGCTTCACGGCTCGCTCGTAAAAACCTTTCACTCACTTCGCTGACTAATTCATTGACCCAATTTGTCGTAGCTAGTTACAAGCTCATAAAATGGCTCTGTTCAGCCAATCAGAAGGCTACAGATTTAAAAAGTGTGCTCCAGATTTCAGTAATAGGTATTACTGTCGTCAAACATTGACAACCTGGTGACTAGTTATTTCACTTACTGTAATGAACCGAACTGTAGGTAAGTTTATCCGATTTGACTCATTCCAAGAGAACTTGCTGATGTCACAAATTTCTCCAAATAGAAACTGTAATTATTTCTTGAAGGTCAAAGTAAGGCTAAAAAGTTGCAACATATAACGCTTATGAAAGAAAATCATAACCTGCCTTTTGCTATTCATATATTACTCCACTTCATGTATATAGACACTATATAGTTATTTAACATGACCTTTTGAAAGATCAGTCTCTTGCACTGGAACAAGGTATATATTGCTGTGGCCATTTTCGTCACTGTGCTCAATCGGGTGTCCGTTGGTACTTTGGTGCACAAGCCTTCTATCAACGAATGGTATCTGATGAGACAAGAGGGAGCTTTGTGTTACGGGATGTGTTGAGTCTGGTAACTGAGAATGCGGAAAGGCAATGTTTGTTGTCTGCTGTTGAACAGGATGCTGGCTCATTCCGATTTTACTTGGAAAGGGTGAATATGCCATTGGTTGCTGTTGGAGAAGCTGTCGCTGCTGAGGACCAACCATGGAGCCAAGTTGTGGGAATCCTCCTCCATTACTCATAACGTTCATATTAAATGTTGGATTCCCTGAAGGTGTTCCAAAGTTATTTGGCAGAAAAACGGCACCAAGCTGGTTGGCCACAATAATTGGTTCGGATTTAAATGCCCCTGTTGGTGGTGCATAAAGAATGGAATTGTTTGTCTGTTGCTGATAATGTTGATGAGAAAGTAAAGTGCTGGTCATGAATTCAACTTCGTAAAACTCGATTGAATCCCCAGGCATGGTTTGAAGGGTAAATACCAGCTTACCAATGCCAAGTTTGTCATTGGTTTTCAGAACTTTGATGCCACCCTGCTTGAGCAATGGCACTCCGTTTATATAAACTGGCTTTGTTTCACTGACAGTTTCTACAACAAAATGACTTTCACCCGTGTAAGGGTTTGTTTGCAGTGAAAGCTTCATGTGTTCCCTTGACACTGTGTCATCATTCAAAAATACCCTTGCAGAATGGCCACGCCCAAACAATACATGCTGGTCAGAGGACTGCTGTATGGGTTCTTTTGGTATTCCTTTAAGCAGTGGAGTGTTCTTTGTTGTAGGTTCAGTGACACTGAATATTATTCTTGGTGGACTAGACACGGTTTCCTGCTCCCTGTCAATTAAATCTACAAAAAGTAGATGTCAGTTAATTGCAAAGTAACAGTAAATAGAGATATGTATGGTTCACTAGTTTAGTTTACATCTGGCACTGAGAAGTAGCTTCAGAGGTAAAACAATACACTGCTTCAAATTTTTATCTAACAGGTTAATTAGACATTCATATGCAATCCAAGAAAGGATGAAAAATTGTAAATACCTGGACCCTGTGCTTTCCTTCCCCAAAATATGAGCAGGTAAATCTTAAAATTCAGGGAAGTTTGTAGAGGACAACACAGCAAAGTTTATTCAGTGTATAATCACCCACCTTGGGTCATTCTAAGTCTAGGGAGCCAGTCCTAAGAGTCACTAAAAGCCAGAGCTCAAGCACACTTGGCAAAACCAACAACAACTATGCAATAATTTGAACCCTTCAATGACTCCTTCTCCTGCAAAGTCTGTTTTGCCACCCACAAAGCTGCAAGTGTTGACATCAAATTGCTTATTAATTGTGGCCATGCTCAGTTACCATTATTGGAGAATTCAGCATCCACTGTGATACCCTCTCTGTCCACTGTGCTGTTAGTAAAATCCCCATCTTCCTTTGTGGCAGCATCTCTATCAACCTCAGACATTTTCGGACTTTCTGCTGACTAGAAATTTGAATGTAAAACTTGTGTAAATTTCAAGGCTCAATCTCAATTATTTGTTTGAAGTACCTTAACCATTCTGACATGGGATCTCTCTTTCTCAAGGAAAAGCTCAGAAGTCCAAATGTAGTGATGTTTTTGAAACAATTAAGCTCATATGTCAAAACTGAAGCAACTTGTCTCTAAAATGAGTTACTTAAGAGTGATCCTGAGTTCATAAAAACAGATATATATTAAGGTTGTATCCAACTTAAAAATTTTCAAACCAATTTAAATTTGATTTGATTAGTCTCAGATCTAATCTAAAACTGATATTAAACAATTTTAAAACAGATTAAAAATTTTATAGCAGAGGAAATGACTGTTAAATGAATCTAGCACTCCTGTAGAGCAGTAAATGAAATAATTAAACAGTAGACTACATGTCCCAAGGTTTTATGAAGTTATAATCCCATGTGTGAGAACAAAAGGAAAGCTTGTATATTGTGAGAAGTTACATTTCTTTTCTTAATCACAGATACTTTGATTTGTAAGCTTTTTAAAAAAATTTATGTATTGTATATATGTATTTACATGGATAAACAACAGATATTTTGGTCATGCTTTTTAACCTTTTAACTCCCAAGATCTAATTGTTAATTCTCCCCTCTAACTGTTGCACATTTCCTTGTAAATTAGCCATGAGATTTGAATAAGTCAAGGCATTCTTATTACCTTCATGTTAGATAATGTTTGGATTTTAAAGGAAGAAGTTACATGTTAATCACTTCTTGTAGCTAAATGGTAAAATCGCAAACAAAGTATTA